GAGTTCTCGTAGCTCAGTGGATAGAGCGCCCGCCCGGTGTTCGGGAGGTCATGGGTTCGATTCCTGTCTGTGACTCAGAATTTTTCTTTGTCCCACGCTTGTGTCATGTTGATTAATTCACCTTCACAATACGACCGTTACTTACACTACGATTACTGCTAACACTACGATTACACACAACAACTACTACAGATTCTTTGCCTACACAACTGATAATACAACTCTTGCTCTACATTGTACTCTAATTACACAATTACCTTTTGTGTTAACAAGATACTTTATATAAAAGTACAATACAGGTATTTGAATTATCATGAATGTACATATAAATTTACATAATTTACAAGCAGCGCTTACTCCTTTACAAAAAAATTGGATTGTCATTCAAAACTAGGTTCCATTTTGCCTGAAAATGTTTTAAGCTTAAGATGCTTTGAGAGGCTATGAGCTTTTCAATTTCATATTTTCTCTTGACCACATCTTCGAAAGGCAAAAAGAGAGGGATTTGTTTATTTTTGCGACAATTCCATAAATAAATTTTACCTTAAATGATAAAGTAGTTGAGCAGGTTAGATCTCTGATCTAATATTCCTAATATAATGTTAATATATTCCAGTTTTATTTGCTCCCTGGTTACTGTCAACCAAAAGTTTTCAAATTTAGTCCAAAATTCTGTTGAGAAGGAGCATCGATAAAAGAAATGTTCTAATGTTTCTTGAGAGGTTTGACAAAACGTACAAAGATCACTTTGAATCCTTCCGATTTTTGCTAATCGGGTATTCAAAAACAAAATGTCGTTCAAAATTTTGAACTGAAAACATTGTACAAATGTTTCAAGAGCAACTGATTTTGCCAGTACAAACGCTTTTCGAGTCTCTGACATTAGTTTAGAGAACGCTCTTGAATGTTTGGCTTTTTCTTGAATGAGAAAAGCATAAAAGTTTCTACTCTTGCTCAAGAGAGGATCAAAATCTTTGTTACCACATTTTAACTCAAGTGTATTTAAAACGTTTCTATTGACGATGAGATTCCTTAAATGCTTTGGCACAGAGCAACGAACAGCAGACCACGTCAAGTAATTTGAGCCTATTAGTCCCTTGTCCTTTGCTATGTTAAAGGATTCAACATTGTTCCGAGAATACATTAAGTCGTGGATAAAAATTACCCCAGCATTCATATAGTTATAATAACAGATCGGTTTGCCGTCTATCTTTATATTACGATTATTCCACATTATAGAGTCAAAAGCTTTAAAATCCGTTGAAAAATTTGAGCGAAATTCAGACCACCACTGCAGCATTTCTAAATATAAAAATCGAATTAATATGATAGTCATTAATATTATAGTTCCAGTGAAAAAAGAAAAAACCTCCATAAGGTTTGAGCAAATGTCTAAGATAGCTTTTCCATGGAGACGGTTCAGGATTAAAAATTTTCAAAATCCGTGCTAATCTAAGAGACTTAATTGAAGTCTCTAGATCAGTGAGATTTAACCCACCATAGTCAGAACAATTAATTGTTAGTTCTTCTGGTTATCTTATCTGGCCCTTTCCACACGAATTTATATATTATCGTTTGAATCAGTGATATAAATTCCGAGGGAGGTGAGAGGATAGAAAATATATAT